GAGAGATCGCCTCTTGCCGCTTGCGTGCACTCTCTCTCCCCAAAAATTCAAATACCAGCATGTTGTTTGAAGAAACCCTACAAAAAGGATTCGAAAGTGCAGTAATGATTTTCGCGACACAGTATATACGCGACAACATGTCCACTTAAGATTCACATATATGCTGCTATACGAGATATATTGTGGACTGAGAAAATTTTAAAACAAAACTCTCATCATTTTTTGAGTCAAGACATTCATTTCTCCGAGAAGTTAGCCTGCTCCAGTCTCTGAGATAGTCAGGTCCACAAAACAAACACCGGGTGGAACCTCGAAATTGAGAATGCACTGACACAAGAATAAAATCACACGCTTATATTATCGCCTGCCTTACACTTACACGTTATCTGAGATCCTGTGTACACAAGCTACTGAGCATTTCAATCATTTTAGTTACGTTTTAAATAAATTTTTACCTTTGGCCGGTTGATCCACCACCAAGCCTACATTGGACTTAGGCCAACCTGCACACCTCTCTATGTTGCTCTTGATCCTGACGAAAGATCTTAAGCGAGCATCAGCAAGTTATCTTGCTCTTTGGGCAACTTCCATGGTGGACTGTGTTGTCCTTTTGCTTTATTGAAGCTTGGCAATGCTCGCATGGTACTTCAATCTCCCCGCAGTCTTTAGTGACGTGAGTCTCGACTTCATTTAGCACCAGTCCTTGGCTGCAGCCCTTGCAGGTCGCCTTTACATTCCCCAGCAATTGCTCGGCAAAGATGTTGCTAGCCTGGGCTGTCTGCACATGTGGCAGTTTTTTTACGCCATTCTTTACTAGCTGGTCAGCACAATGCCGCAAACTGGGTGACCACATGGATTGGCGATTTGTTGGTTGACCATCGGATATGTACTGAAATGGAAAGAATCAATGTCAAGTGTCAGATGTTACCTTTGTCCCTGAAACAACCAGACAAAAGAATTCTACTTTTCTTACCAAATTTCATAAATAAACTCTTTTGGGACGCTGATTACATCCACGTTTTCGAAGAACTGTTGAGACGACAAGGCTGGTGTGTGTGGTTTAGCCAACAGGAGGATACAAAATATGATGATTTGTATATTCAAATGTCTCCATTTTGGTAAATATCCGTGCAATTTAAAACAACTGATCAAGTTAAGATCTACTGCTTACTCCCTACGGGGTACTAATATTTTATCACTTCCTAAGCCGTCTACAACCACATATGGTCTAAATTCCTTTAGCTATTCATCTGTTAAGTACTGGAATTCTCTACCTGATCACTTTAGGAAGACTGTAGATTATAGTGAATTTAAGCGCAAATTGTTAGTGCACGGTTTTAGTTAATACTACGTTAATTAATATTATATTATATATGTTGTAACTTTTAAAATTAGTTAGGATCGGAGATACTAGCTATGTAAGCTACACTAAAATCCGAGGATAAATTAAGTTTATGTATGAATGTATGTATGTACGACATGTTTGGCAGGTTATCTCGGGTATACCATGTGCACGTTATGATATAGCTGTAAACTGAGATGATTAAAAGCGCTTTTTACTTCAAGTCTTTGTTACAGTAGACCCCCTTGCACAACTCTTTCTCCTGGGGTCGTATGGGAAACACGTGCATTTCCGACTTCAATATTGTTCTTTAAATAATCTTCTCATCAACGGACCTCTTCCTCTGTTTGCTTTTCGAGCTTTGTTTCAATATATTAAAGGCATCAATGCTAGTGTTTAAAGAGCAAAAACATGACACTGAATAGCCTACCACGCAGACGTTCTTGAGGTTTCCTGCCACACGACAGTCTGCTATTAATGACACAGGCCGGGCCAGTTTTTCTATTGTTAGGGATGGCACTTTTGGCGTGTGTTCGATTGAGGGTCACAGTATTAACAATTGTTTCCTTACACCGAGTAGAGGCTGCTTTTGCTTTTCATGGAATGACCTTGACTTGCTAAACTGACGACTGCAAATAATTTTATTATAAAGGAAAGGTCCCCTTGATCACAAGTATCAGCTGTAACTCATGTGCAGATTTTCGGAGAACCATTATGCGCTATTGAAGTCAAAGTGTTGACAAGGCAAACACGATCTACTTGGTTGTAGGAGGGTTGAGTTATGAGCCAAAAGAACGTCTGGGGTGATACACTTCATGCTGAACGCGTAAACTTAGAAGAAGAGTTCAAAATAAACCTCGTTGATGTTACCAGGCTTTCTAATGGTCCGATTAGCGACCTGATCAACTGGCTGCAGTGTGAAAATCTCATAGCTGATCCCCTTAGATGTTTACCTTGTAATAGAGGAATGGTGTTGGATGAGAGAGATGCAAACCACATTGATGGATATCTATGGTAAGGTTTACATTAGAATCATCAGGGCACAAGTCATTTTTATCACTAGTATTTGTTTTTGTGCTTTGTTTGGTCAATTACTTGATAATTCTACATATAAAAAGAATCAAACGAAAGGAACACGGCCAAGTCCCGGATTTTTGATTCCAGGGTGTGGGTTCCAGATTCTACTGTATGGATTCCCTATTGTAAGTGGGACTTGAACTCCAGATTCCAGTCGTTGGTAGGATTGAGGATTCGTTGGGTTGTATCCTGTATTCCAAAGTCTAGGGTTCCGCAAGCAAAAAAATCCTATATTTAGGATTTCAAATTTAGTCCCCCCTCACCGTAACGATTCCTGTCTTTAAGTCTTAACGAGGCTAAGAATTTTGGCTTTACTTTTAAAGGAGATGCACTGTTTGTCGTCGCAAGAAATTTTTGCACGAAGGAAGTTTTTTTTGCTGAATTTCCAAGGATTCGACTTGGAAAACTCGTACTGTTGATTTACTTATGGAGTCTTCACGAGTTATGCTCTAAATCAGCTGACATGGTCGGATTGACCCGAAACACAGTTGGAAATGTGTTTGCCATGCTAAGATATCTTTGTAAAAGGGATCTTCAAATCAGACCAATTACACCATTTGGCGGATGTGTTTTCGTGGTGAAGTGTGACGAAAGTCAATTCAAGCATAAATCGAAGGTGATGAGACAACAGAATTTGATCTTTGTTTGGAATTGCACCAGATTATCCCGAAAAGCGTGTTTCGGATAGGTTTATTCAAGTTCAGCCGGCCGAAGCCCGCTGAAAAGAAGCACTGTTTCTGTCCTGCATAGCTGGCGGGATAAGCGTTTCTGATTGGTTTCGGAGCAGAGATTGACCAAGGAACGGGATTTCGGTTTTGGCTGCCCGAGAAAGAAATTTTTCGTGCGGCATTTGACCCTCCTTGTTCCTTGCTTCTAAACCGCGCGGAAACGCATGCTACGAAGGATAGGAATGCCGGGGATAATTTTCCCCTGCGGCTCTACCCCCAAGAAAGCATTCCGACGAAACAATCCTGCTACGTTGCTACATTGTTTCTTTGCATTCTTAAGAAAATGAAACGAAAATGTGAAGGGTGGAAGTCGTTAGTGAAAGACCCTGAGAGAACATAAGTAATGCCCTATGGTTGCCTCGACTCTCTCTCGCATATTACCTTTTTCTCCACAAGCCTGATATCATCTAAACTTTTAGTTCAAATTTTACCCACTTTGGAAATAGCAAGCTATCACTAACGGCCTACTTTAACAATTTCTTGTAGTACGAAAGAGGACGAAGGGCAAGAGATGATGTTTGGGTCTTCGGAGTCATCTCGATGGAGTATTCTCCCTTTCGGGGTTACTTCTGTGTCATCGAAAGACGAGACAGAGCAACTTTGACTCAAATTCTTCAGAGAGTACTCCTGCCTGGCTTAGAAGTACATAGTGACGACTGGGCAGCGTACAGAAACTTGCATGTACATGTTCCCAATGTAACAGTGCATAGAACAGTCGTCCACCGGGATAACTTCTATTATTATATATACACTGAGCATATGGAAATTAAGAAAATTATCGTCATTTTTTCAATTACATTATTGTGCAATGGTAAAGTAAAGCATAATGTTAACTCATTATTAAAAATGATATTGTCAAAACAAATTTTAGATCAAGACATGTCGACTGCTCCAGGGGATACAGATGATGCACTATCAGAGCCAGGGCCTTCTGGAGAGAGTGAGTGCAATGAATAGAGCTTTGCTTTTTACTTAAAAAATTCATAAAAGTCGTCCCTCACAACCCCCCCATCCCTTATAATTGGATTTATAATTGAAAATATTTATTTGTGGCTTGCTTTGTTGATTGACAGAATATACTTTAACAGTAGAATCGACTGGAGTAAATGTTGGTAGCAAACTGCCTTTTTGCCCAAGCACCCAGCTGCAAGATACATCACCGCTTTCAACCACTACCTTAACTAGGATTTTTTCTTTCCCTTTCTGTACACAAAATTGGCACCGGGCCCTTGAGAAAATATCTGTAGAATTTGCAAAGGATTGATTAAAATTAAAAATTGTGTATAGTAGTAGCCAATAAATATAGGCATTCGATAATGATAATAACAATAATAATAATTGTATTGTGAAACGCTACTTTAAAGTTCTTTTCCTGGAAATGAGAAATCAATAGCTAGTAATGGTAATCACGTGAAATTTCATTAATTTACTACTCTGTTATTTTGCATCAATATTTTCGAAAACAAAGATCAAACCAGCGAAAAAAGGTTGCTGACCACACACAAACACACTGGACAAAAAACACAATGGTGAGAAGGGAAAAAAGCATCATCATTCTTGTGAATTTTTGTCTTATTTTAACACTAATGGTATATATTTTCAACAGTGTAAAAAATTTTCATTATGTGCATCAGTCCAAATAATATATTGTTATTAAAATTATTGTTATTCTCGGATTATTACAGTAATGTCCCCTTCAAGTTTTCCTGCTTGCCATCCATTGTAGCCGAGTCCAAGCAGTGGACCTGGGGCATTAGAGGCGAAGAAGTTACTTCAGCGACAGTAGTTTCCTTAGTATGTGGACTGTTCCAAGCATACTGATTTTCTGGATTTCAAGCACATATTTGCGCATCATGAAGAGAGATGTCAATAAGTGCGATTTGGTGGTCGGAGATAACACTGGTGCCATGGTTATTACACTTTTGGAAGAGAACATCGACAAAGTTAGCGTTGATAATTCATGTTGCTTTCATTTAGTGACTGTGAAGAGTCTCTACAGGAAACAACTGAACTCTAGCAGGGCAAGTACGATCAGTAAGAGTGACGATGTTGTAATTTCGGACAAATTGAGTGATATCGTCAGAGGGTTGATGGCTAATGATGTGAGTAATGAAAGTGTAATTGGACGTTTTTTGGCCATAAGTATTGAAGAGGTTGTACACTTGCATAAATGTACGTCAAAAATTGTACATATTCCAGGGCAATCTATTTTTAAATGTTCGAAGTATGCGTTGGCCATAAAAAAAGGCAGATGTGGCTTCAAGTACTGCAAGCAATATTGTAATTAAAGATGATGGGAATAACATCGGCAGGTTTTATTGTCCAAATGCTGTAATGCAATCTTTCTTTGCAAAACTTTCAGACATGCAATTATTTAGCATCGAAGAAGCTGCTCTGGCTGAACTATCTGTAGAAATGATGGAAGAAATAATGCTAAATTTGAAAAACGTGAAAATCGAAATTGTTGCGGAAGACAATGTTATTAAAGAAATTGCTTGATGAGGGAAAGAACGTTCTTTTGGAAAAGGCTGTTGTCCATTTTAGAAAACAAATGGAGTGTTTTTATTACTCAATTTCCCAGTTGGTGTGCAGCATGGCTAAGTAGGGAGGTTAGGCAAAGGTTTGCTTTAATTTAGATATTGTCAATTTTTTTAATATTGATTTTGTTAATTTTTTTATGGTAGTGTGACCGGTTTTACCTTTTTTTTTCTGTTTCGTTCATTCCTCATTACCTCTAACTTGTATTTCATTGAATTGCATTGATTTACGTTGTGTTGCATTGTATTTTTTCCCAGATTCAAGTAAACAGAGGCAAAAACTCAGGACCCAAATGTCTCGTGAGAAGGAGTTGTTGGAAAAAGTTGTCACGAGCTATAATGAACTGGTTGATGAAAACAACAAAATAACGACTGAGAGTATCCAGAAGGGTGATTTCCCATAGGATAAACCTGATTTTCCTTGCTGTGACGGCAGTTAGTACTCCTACACTTTGTTGCCTAAATAGATTGTGGTGTTGTAGAAATCTGCCTTGGGGCTTTCATAAGTCATTTTTAACATTGAACTTCTCTCCTCGTTTTGGAATCTCTTCCTGTTTTGATAATTCGCTGGTACTTTTCTTACCTATATCCGGCAACCTAAACAACCACCAATAATAACTTTCATTAATCAGTTCCAGTAGGTACAAAGAGATCTTTGGTCGACAAGCAGATGGAAGTCGAGCACTTCGGAGAGGAGCTCAAAGTTTTAAGGAGATGAATGGTTATATGTCTTTCTATAAGGATACTATTTTGTCCTCAATTCAACAGAAGAAAGCAGAATTCCAGGCTTCATTGTCAGGTAGCTCATTAAGCGTCAACTAAATTTAACTTAACTCTTGTCAAACCTATAGGGTAGTCTAGGAAGAAATAGATAGATGCATATCTAAACGTTATGCTTGTTTTTTGGGTATGCCATATTGTTTTACCTGTGCATATGCTGCACTATTTTCTCCTATAGGTTCAAACACCCAGATGTTGACATTGAGAGTGGCATGATGGAAATTGAAGACAGTGATCGAGTCTGTAAGAATCCATTATTTTTGTTTGCCAGTTTTGGGTACATTGTAAAATAGATCAGTAACACTGAAGCATTGTTGTCAGTTAAGTGATTTTGACACACCTTCCTTTCATCGAAATATACACCAATTCAAAGCGTAGTTATTGTCAGTTAATGTACACGTTTCCAAGAAAAATGCTGCTGAAATTGCAGTTCTTACGAATTTTCCTTTTTCCTTTTCATAGTACTTGTGCTTATTTTGATGTATCTTTGCATTCATACTATCTGTTTTTGATGACTCTAGCCATTAAATTGGACTTTTCTCTAAAGTAGGCTGACCTTTTCGAAATATTACAATGGTAACATTTACCATTGTAGGGAACAAGAGAACTACTGTCCATGAAAGTAGTGGAGTCTTGGCTACACCATGCTGATGAGACCCAATAGCCCGAAATAGCAGGCAGGTTTTTTTATTCATCAATTTGTTCATCATTTGTTGGCTTTTACGTCCATGTGAATAGGTAACTAAAGGAAAAATATCCCTGCTTCAGCAAGGAAGGCAATTTTCCCCCACACAGATTGCAGCAGGTCTTGCCTCATTTGCCTCCGTTCTATCAGACGAGATGGATTCCTTTCATACTCTGGTTGCTGAGACTAAGGGTGGAGAAGATCCAGACAAGGAACCAGAGCTAAAGGATCAGTCAGGGACAGAAGAGATGACGACGAGGAGGATGATTAAGAAGCAAGAGAAGACGTGACTGACATAGCCTTAACCGACAAGTGCTTGGCCGAGTTCGAATTCATTGTACAAGATCTCCCCATGCTTCCGACATTGAGTGCAGAGAATAGCAATGGAAAAATTGATATCTGGTATTTACCACGTGATATAAGCCAAAGCACATTCAATGGATGCAATGGGAGTAATGTATGCAGCATGATTTCCATCTTAATTTCTTATTTATATTCCAAGAAACGTCTACAAATGCCTGAAACAAGTATTATTCCCTTTGAAGTTCTTGAATTAGTTTCTGGCTGTATTGAATTTGGCAACAGAATGTATGACTTGTGTCACCAGTCTTCCTGGCCGATACTTATCAATTGAAGAAGCCGTCAGATTATTATCATTTTCAAATATGGCAACAGCAGAACCCTTACCAGTAAAACTGAACGATGACCAAGAACTACAACCCTGGTCAAAACTCTTGGGACATTAAGGTAGTTGCACTGGGTAATTTTAAGTATTTTGGAATCTACTTTAAAATGGGATACTATCTTAGAATTTCAGCTAATAAATTTGAATACTTGTCAGTGACTAGAATTGGTACTTGACTTTTTTATGCCAATATAGTTGTGGCCCTGTACCTGTTAATTATTAACTTATTGCCTTGCCCCCTGGGGCCTATAAATTTAAAAAATATATTTTTTTGTGGACATGAGATAAAAACACTTTCCCTTTTTTTGAGAATCCTACAAACATTAACACTCTGAATAATCACTAGCTTGCAAAACACAAGAGGCGATATTTAAAAAATTATCGTGAAATTTTCAATTTTTGCTCAAAATTGACGGTAGTCGAGGAATTTTAATCACAACTTAGTTTGCAAGCAAGCGATCGTTTATTACGAGTTGAAACAAATTGCCAAATTTCATCGTTATAGGTGCTATACTTTTGAAGAAAAACGTTCTTAAAAATATGGATAACCTGTCTTCAGTCCACTTTTTGTCAAAAAACGCCCAAAAAGGCTCGCTGAAGTCAATTTTGTAGCAAGAGATCGTAGTTTAATGTTTGGCCGCCATCTTGAACAATGTTTTACCCTCCTCTCGGGTCTCAGTTGTTAGATTTGTCTTTGTTTTGACCCCTAACACTACCCCCAGCATTACTTTGTTTGTCGGTTGCTAAGGATGAGTTATTTTGGGGGCGTGACATTTGAGATCGACTTCCGCTAGCGAAGTGCGCATAATCGATCGAATTGTAAGACGCCTTTGTTTACAATGGTGTCGCAAGATAAAAAGAAACTTTCGAAGTCAGAGAAAAAGAAATTGTATCAGGATAGAGGAAAGAAAGGGGCTGAAGTAAGAGGTCTTGGAACTGGATCTCGAATAGATTTTTCCCTTCCAGCGCAATGGACAACAGAAGTAACATCATACGACCATCACGATGTGGTGAAATATATTTCTCCAGGCAAAACGATGTATCACACGTCAACAAAAGTCAAAGAGACGCTGGCTAAAAGAAAAATGGATTTCTGCTTAGATAAGTCATCAGAGTCTTCGGGTAACGAGACAGATAACAAGGATGCAGACTTTGAGCCAGATCCATCCCCAAAACGGCGGAAAATGGTTCGCGAGGAACCTTTGCAGAATCCATTGAAAGTGGAGCGACAACTTTGTGTTTGTGAATCTTCGCAGATAATCCGTCTGATTGATGACATAAACAAAACCTCTCGTTGCTCTACGCCCGATTGCAATGGTATGTTTCATGAATTGTTGAACTGTTGCCGTTTTAATTTTTTTTAGTGTAGCTTTGAGTTCATTCAGGCCAGAAGGTGAATAATATTTTGGTGTTGTAGGTGTCATACAATCATCCGAATTTGAGGTCATTTCTCAGAACACATTTGAGGCAGTTTCATGAACTTCCTATCCTTGTTGTACGTAAAAAAAAAATGCTTGAAATCAATGTCCCGACATTGACCTATCAACATTTTTCCTTCATTTTGATAACTTAGCTGGCTAAATTCTCGCTTGTTTCATCAAGGCAACAATAAATTGGTGCTTCACTTCAAATATTTCTAAGAATACCCCTCTACTACAACTTTTAGGTCAGCTGATACCCTCTAGAGTTGAGACAGTAGGCCTTGGTGGAACCATCAACATCACATTTGCTTGTAGTGGGTGCCAGTTGAGAAGTGTCTCTTTCCAAGGGTCATCTATGGTTGAAGCATCAAGGAGAACAGTTGTTGGACTAGCCCTAGCTGTGGCATTTATTGTCTCAGGACATGGGTTTGCAAAGTTCCATAGAACTCTGAACCAGTGTCTTGGCATCCAAGCCATATCCAAGAATCGGTTTTTCGAGGTTGTCAAATTGATATATCCCCACATTCAAGACATCTTGACAGAAATGTGCGATGAGGAAAAGGCACAAATGAAAAGGATTGACAGCAATGTCTTAGGAAGTTGGCAACGCGCAGTCGTTACCTCTGATGGAGTGTGGCACACCAGAGGCCATTTTAGCAAAAATGGCTCCTTCATCATAAAGAATTACCTAACTGGGGGTTTACTATGGTTCGGCCACAAGTGCATGCGTGAAAGTTCAGAGGATGATGATTTGTTTTTGGGGACTGCCAAATCAATGGAAGGTATTCTCGCAGATGAGTGCTACCATCAGGCTAAAAGTGAAGGTTGTAATGTTGTGGTAGTATGGCAGGATGGTGATTCCAGTTCCCAGAAGTTTGTTGAGAAAGTTTTTGGAGCTGAGCCCAGGAGGGTATTCAAGTGCGGGGGTCATGTTGGAAGGGCTCATGCGAACAATTTGAAAGACTTAGCTAAGCAAAAGGTCTTTTCAGCTGGACAAATTACTAAATGGAAAGATACATTCCCTGCTGTTGAATCAGCCAAGTGTGCTTGTAAGCGCCACAGCAAAACCTGTGGCTGTTTGTCTGACGCATTTATCCAGGGTGCACGGTTGAACCACTTCTGCTGTTTGCAGCAGTGCAAGAGTCCAGATGACTATGCAAGGCGTATGAGGAGTTTAGGGGGTCATCACTGCAAAGATGAACATGAATGGGCTGATGGGAAATGTGATTTCCAGCCCAGTACTGTTTGCTCTTGTGGTAAATGCAACCAAGATGAGGAAATATCCTGTGAGGGAAAAGCGTACTCCACCAAGTCAGTGCTAAAATGCGAGTTTCATCAGCTAGCCTACCAAACAGAATGTGAACTCCAAGCAAATGATGCTGAAGCTGTTATTCACCCTGAATTGGGAAGGGGACAGTCCAATTTGTGTGAGGCACATTTCACTGTCCTGCCACATTTCAGAGCAAAGGACCAAAGCTTATGCAGGTACGTACATGTGAACAATAGCTTAGCCCAATTTATAGAGGACTTTTCTGAAAACAGCCTGTTGGTGATGGTAACTTTCTGTATAGACTATTACTGACTGTGATTGGTTTTACTGGTAGTCTTGTTTCATGTTCTTCAGCATTTTTGCCATCTTACTCTTGATAATTCACATTTTCTTCAGAACATACTTTCTTCGAACATCATTACTATTATAAAATTATGTGTGTTACTATTATTATTATTATTATTATTATTATCATCGTCATTATAAGAATTATCATTGTTGTAGAGCACATTATTTTCTTGTTTCCATGCAACAAAAAAGAAAAATGAAATCTGAGAATGTCAGGAAAAATGGCTTTGCACTTTGTATGTTTGATCACTACTTATCTTGATTAGGCACTATTGGAGAGTTATTAGGAAAATGAGGAAATCAGAAGCACAGGAAAATTAACAACTGATTCCCTGATCATGATTTCTCCATAGGTTGCATTACATCACATCAACAAACTGTGGACTTGCCCAGGGAAACATGACATGGTGTTTTAACCATCGTGGACCTGACTACCGCTGGATTGTTGATTTATACGAACGCATAAATCTGCCTGTCCTACCTGAAGTTGTCCGTGGTTTCCAACAAGCCACTAAGGAGCGAATGACGGAATTGGAGAAGAAGACTGATGAAGCGAAACAAAAGAGGGTCTCACAAAAAATTGCCCGTTCAGAAGACCAAGAAGAACGAAAAAAATGGGTCAAGTGGCAAGCCATTCTTCACACATATGGTGCGGAGGATGAGGATGATGGCAGTGAAGAGAATAGAACCTTGGTCCAAGAAGCTGAGCACTTAATGGGGGGCGAGGAAACAGTGATAGTCAGTGGACGGAAATGTAGGTGTGGTTCAACGACTCACTTGCGTACCTCAAGTCGCTTGTGTCCACTCAACAAGAACAATGCCAACTAAAAGCATTTTAAAGAATGTTCTTGTTTTTGTTTTTTATTTTCAACAGATGTGTTCATCCTGTGACATATTAGGTGAAAGCAATACTACTATTCTCTACTTGCACAAATCCCATAATACACCTCTTTTACCCCCCCCGCAAATTTTGCATATTCATTGTTTGCAATTTCTCCTGAGACATGAAGATGTCCCCGCGTATTTTGGGGGGGTAAAAGGGGTGTATTATGGAATTTGCGCAAGTAGAGAATAGTGTGGAAATGGAATGTTTTCTATTGTAACATAGCGCAACCACCTCCTTTACTTTCACGTAGGATACCAGAACATAGGTACATCATGTAGTTCATGTTGAGTTCAAGATGTGATTTTTGCTGTTTAGAGGAATATGCTTCTCGTTAGTTTTTACCATATGAGTAGGATGTAAATTCAAAGATAATTGTTTTGTTTGGGTAAAAATACATCTTACTTCCCCTGCATTTGATGAAAAAAAACATTGCCTCATGAGGAATTTTAAAAAAATGTCATGTTTATTCTGTGCTTGTACCCCAATGCATGCATATTCTTCAAAACAATAACAATTTTTATAATACATTGTAAATATCCTGTTTTGATGAATTTCTCTTTATTCTATTTGGTATATCCTGTGAATTATACTAATATGACTTGTTGACAGATGATTTCAATAATAATTTGTAATTTTTTATGTTCTAGATTTTACAATTTCATAAATATTGTACTATTTGGTATATCCTGTGAATTATACTAATATGACTTGTTGACTGATGATTTCAATAATAATTTGTAACTTTTCATGATCTTGATTGTACATTTTCATAAATATTATACTATCACTTTACTACCTTGACAAATAATCCTCAGGAAAATACTAGCTATTGCAAATATCAATTTTTTAAATTATGGCAGTCCGTATAAAAACCACAGAACATTTTTCAAAAGTAATCGGGACTATTTTGATTTTTCTTTGTTTGTCCCGTAAAACAAAACATTCGGGACCATACAGCTTTTATACTAAAAAAATAAAAGTCATTTTTTTCTTCAATCCTATTGGGATCCTTATTTAGCAGCAGGCCAGGTAGCAAGGGCAAGGTCTCCTATGTTGACTTTGTAAACCTGGAAACAGAAGATGAAATATGATGTAAATGTATAGCAGCTACAAGCTCTGGATCTTAATAACTAAGTGAATCAAACGAAGGCATTGTGGCTAAGGGACACACACTCGCCTACAGCAAGGGCATCTACATGTAGTTGTCCTATAAACACCTACCCCCATACTTTTGGAAGGAAAATCTATCAGACCTTCTGATTCTCCGTATATCTTAAGAAGGATCACTGACTGCAATTAACAAATATCACACTCACCTGTGCATGTGTTGGATCCGGTTTGTCCACCAGAGCACCAGGAATAATCTCCCTTATCACCCTCTTCCGAGTAGAAGGGAAAACATATGGGGGCTTTCCAACATCAGTCCCTAGGGTTTTCTTACTTCCAAACTATGAGATGTAAACAAAGGAAATTAACAAGTTAGTTCCAAAAGAGTCTTTGTGAGGGAAATCATTTTATTAGGGGTACTATGTGGTCAAACTCTGAAAACCTACAGATGTAATCAAAGAGGCAACTGTTCAAAGCAGCACTAGGAATGACTGGACCACAATAACAAATAAATAAAATCCACTTCCTCCAGTGAAGCAGGATGTTCAACCTGATGGAGAGCTAAGGTACTGTATGAAACCCTTTTGATTTCCAGGCACTAACTTTTTGACCATGAACATTTGGGAAATATCCAAATCTTTACAAATACCTAAATACTTCTGTTGGTGACATTGAAAAGTAGCCAATTTGATGCTGGAAGATTGACTATCTACAGGCTCCAAGTTCTGGTCAAACAGGAACACATGAACAAAACGAGGAGACTACAAACAATTATTATTGCTCAACATTCAGAGGGATGAATTTTGTGTTTGAAAGTTACGCTTGACTACAAAATCCAGGACTAAACACGGACTATGTGACTTGCGCCCACCACTTGCGTTTCATTCCACAGAGCGCTCCGATCTAGGTAAGTGACCCGGAAAAAAAACAATATCCTGAACTCAGAAATTGTCTGAACACTGTTCAACTTACCCATAAAATTGCCCAGATGCATCTGTATAGCCTGGCAAGTCCTTGCTTGGGGGTTTCGCCAGGCTTCATGGCAAAGGCACGCAGTAAACGAATAAGGCCTTCAGGTTTCTGAAAGCTGTAAAAATGCAGGATTTCACAATAGAGCTTCCTGGAAAAATAGCTGCACACAGCATGATTTTGTAAAAACCTACCCATTTCGTGAAAACTCCGCTTCAAAAGCCACAAATGCAGCCTCTCGCGAAGCATCAGACATCCCCGCCATCTTGACATGTCTTGACTCTCTTGACCTTTGGTCCACGAGATTTGGGTAGGTACTTCATATATGATTATTATTATGTACCTAAACATAGTTATTATATCTTACTATATATTATTATTATTACACCCCATACAGCACCATATACCCCTATATACCCCTGTACAACACCATATACCCCTATATACCCCTATTACACACCATATACCCCTATACAACACTATATGCCCCTATATACCCGTATACATCACCATATACCCCTATATACCCCTTTATACAACAATTATATAATTTTATATACCCCTATACAACATTATATACCCCTATATACCCTATACAACACCATATACCCTTTATATACCCCTATACAACATTATATACCTCTATATACCCTATACAACATTATATACCCTTATATACCCTTTATACAAATAATTATATACCCCTTTATATAATTTTATTACATAATTATATAATTTTATACAATATTATATGTCCTTTATATACCCTTTATACATCACTATATAATTTTATATACCCCTATACAACATTATATACCCTTTATATACCCCTTTATACAACAATTATATACCCCTTTATATACCCTTTATATAAATAATTATATACCCCTTTATACCCTATACAACAATTATATAATTTTATATACCCTTTATACAACACCATATACCCTTTATACAACACTATATGCCCCTATATACCCCTATACAACACCATATACCCCCATATACCCCTATACATCACCATATACCCCTATATACCCTAAACAACACCATATACCCCTATATACCCCTATACATCACCATAGACCCCTGTACATCTCCATACACCTCCATACATAACCATACACCCTTATACATCACCATACATCCCTATACATTCCCATACACTACTATACATCACCATACACCCCTACACATCACCATACACCCGTATACATCACCATACATCCCTATACATTACCATACACCTCCATACATAACCATACACCCTTATTCATCACCATACATCCCTATACATTCCCATACACTACTATACATCACCATACACGCCTACACATCACCATACATCCCTATACATCACCATACACCCCTATACATCACCATACATCCCTATACATTACCATACACCTCCCATACATAACCATACACTCCTATACATCACCATACACCCCTATACATCACCATACATCCCCATACATAACCATACACCCCTACAAATCACCATACACCCCCATACATCACCATACTCCCCTATACATCACCATACATCCATATACCTCACCGTACACCCCCATACACCGCTATACATCACCATACACCCCCATACATAACCATACACCCCTATACAGCACCATACACCCACATACAACACCATATATTCCTATACATCTCCATACACCACTATACACCACCATACATCCCTATACATCACCATACACCCCTATACATCACCATACACCTCCATACATAACCATACACCCTTATACACCCTTATACATCACCATACATCTCTATACATTCCCATACACTACTATACATCATCATACACCCCTACACATCACTATACATCCCTACACATCACCATACATCCCAAAACATCACCATACACCCCTATACATCACCATACACCTCTATATATCACCATACATCCCTATACATCACCATACACCCTCATACATAACCATACACCCCTATACATCACCATACACCCCTATACATCTCCATATACCTCCAGACATAACCATACACCCTTATACATCACCATACATCCCTATACATCACCATACACCTCTATACATCACCATACATCCCTATACGTCACCATACACCCCTATACATCACCATACAGCTCCATACGTAACCATACACCCCTATACAACACCATATATTCCTATACATCCCCATACACCCCTATAAATCACCATACTCCCCTACACATTCCCATACACTCCTATACATCACTATACACCACTACACATCACCATACACCCCTATACATCACCATACACCTCCATACATAACCATACACCCCAATACATCACCATACTCCCCTATACATAACCATACACTCCATACATAACCATACACCCCTATACATCACCATACACCTCTGTACGCGAAGTTCTTGGAAGGATTAACGTATGGGTTTTGAATAACAGTATCTATTCCCCGGGGGGGGGGGACTCCCATATATGGGCTATATAGGTACGTGCCGCGCAATAGAGTATGGTTTTTGAAGTTCTCGGTCCTTAAATAGGGTATCTTTCTTGACCCTTTTGTTTCTGTGTCCCTGGTGTGGTCCTTAGATAGGGTAGGTTAATTGCATTATCTAATACTGGAGTGGGAAAATGCGCGCCTTAATGAACGGTTTTGATTTTGCAACAGAGGTTTAATAGACGTTAAGCGGGTAAATACACGTAACACCTCTTCAAGCCACATGTTTGTTTTTTCCTTGAATAGGGTGTCATTTTTCGGCTTTGGGCCTTAAAAAGGGTACCAGTTTTCTTAGCTTTTTATTGGATAATACCCGACCCGCGATGCCAAACAAAAACAAAAATGAACAAAAAAAATGCTCACACTTTACTAAGGTATATTGAATGTACTTCCTGACTTTCATGGACATGCATTAAACGGCTTAATTTGGTAGGTCACATGAACTATGGCTCGTGGAGTAATATAACTAAGTAAAACGTTGCGAAATAAATTGCACAAGCTTTGTAGCACTTTGACCCCGGCTGAACCGTATATTACCAAGATCGATGCCACCCAGCGACAGTTAGATGTTCGACATCAAGGGGACATAACGAGAAATTTAATCATTGTTTCTTGCTTATTCTTTGTTTTGGGATTTAAAACAATCATCTGTGTTCTTCTTGGAAAAGAAGCAGGACAATATTCGGGATGTCTTAAGAGAGTTTGATTGTACACATAAAATGGAAGGTTTGATCAAATTGTTGAAGGGCCACACGCTATGTCAAAATTAATACCAAAATTATTTATCTGGTGTCCAATAAGACATTACGGTTTGACTATTTTATGTCCTATTCATGGCTGTCCTCTGAAAGTCGGACAGTGGACCGATCTTCCTGACTCCTCCAACACAAGTCCAAGAAACCCAAGATTGATTTACGACTTGAACGGAAATGTTATTCTGGTGCAGGCGTTCTATGAATGCAGTGAAAGTTTGCCAGAAACCGTGATGATTGGACATCGGTATTTGTCCGCATCAAACGATGTGTTAGGCGCTCTCCCTGAAAGTGTTGTTAAGGGATTTCCTCTTATAATGTAGCAGAGAAGCGGTTTTACGCTGCGTCTTTATGATTATTTAATAACTGGTATTTATCAAGGACAAAACTTCATGGAATTATCTGAAGGCATTGCATCAATGAATTACAGACAGTACATGCGTAATAAACCGGACAGCAAAGGGTTATCTGTAAAGGAGTTTGAGAGTATTCCTTTCATTGCCTATCCAAGCAACGATAAACTAATGGATTTGTTTCTCATGCAGTTTGAGCGGAACAAAAAACGTTATGAGAATAACATGCAGAAACACACAGGGGAGATTCTGTCCTGTGACCACACCTTTAGAACGAGTAAACATATCGGGGTAACCCGCGAGGACGGCAAGTTTGTAGGCCAGTTTAAAAACGTCTTCTTGGGGGTGAACGAAAACGGAGAAGTTATGATATGGAAGTTTACGAAGACGACTTCTTCGTCCGAAATTATCGACTCACTTAAAGAACTCAAAGAGAGGCTTGATAAGGCAAGCACTAACTTAAAAATGATAATAGTGGATGACTGTTGCCACGTGATGCACCTATATGGACAATTGTTATATTCCTAGAATTTCACTCAACTAAACAGGGACTGCCATTGGTTGATTCTTGGTCACGTGGCCTTGACTAAAATCAAATGTATCCCGATCGTGATACATTAAACAATGTATTCCGCTCGGGATACATTGCAGCACGTGATCAAAGCATGGTGGAAAGTGGCGTGACCGAAGGCGGGAAAAACACCGCCAGGTTCTGCCAGTTTTCTTTTTCGTGAATGAACACAACAACACAATCACGAAGCCTCAAGCTAAAAAGCAACGATTTTTAAAGTTATCCCAGAAGTTCCCAGAAGAAAAACAGCAGCTAGTGGAGGAAAAAGATGCAGATGATATAAAGAAAGTACTTTTGTTTGTAAATCATTCGTTCAGTGGTTTTGAGAATTAAATTTATGTTGTCATAAGTACCGAGTCGACTGTTTTGGTTCGTTTTCGTTCGCTCCGGTTATTCTTTTGTTGCTGTTGAAGTGAAAGTCTAGAAATATAACAAAACACTTAATGTCAGATCCCTCGGGAAACCAGTTAGTTTTGTTTTCCCTCGAGTCCTGATGTTTCCCTCGACTTCGTCTCGGGAAACATCAGGACTCTCGGGAAAACAAAACTAACTGTTTCCCTTGGGATCTGACATTAAGTGTATAATATTCCCGGGGATAAAGGTTCGGCTAGACTTATTTCACGCGTGTATGAGAGTTGTACAAACGGTACCCAAAAGCGAAGATTACAGTAAACAATTTGCTAATGAATTTTCTTTAATTTTCCGTCAAAATGGAGACCTTGGTAACGAGAGAACAATGAGCACACCTTGTCCTGATGAAATAGAATCAAATCTTGAACGTCTTCTATTTGTTTGGAGAGAAAAGCTGAAAACGGAAACCCTTCTTCAAATTGAAAATTTGCGCAAGCATACAAAAAAAGGATGTCTCTCGGAAATACCTGTTGGATGTGGGACTGTAATAAATGAGCGACTTCACAGACATCTTAACCGATCATTACTGTGCGGAGTATCCAAAATTGGACCTGAGTTGGCGGTAGCGGTAATGTCGTGTGCTTTGTATGCATGGAATTGCAAACGAAGATTAAAAACAACCCTCAATAAGAGAACAATTCCGATCACGCCAATTGAATTAGAGCCTTTAGAGTCTTTAAACCAAGCGACCCCTTATCTTCAGTCTCACATGACGGCTGTGGATTCTACGTCAACGTCATTACCGGGTTCAATATCTGGAACTGTCTCTGAAAATAGCGTTAAGGCTAGTAGAATGCCAGGGACATCATCCGTTTTCGTCACAGTTAAGACTGTGGAAGAACTGGAAAACGATTCCGTCTTGAACTACATTTTGGAAAGAGCGCTGCACATACAAGAATTTATCACCAGTTGGACAACAAAATGTAACAACAAAACAATAGATTTGATTGGTCTTCTCTGGAAGATAAACTTACCGGCAGGTAACCTTTATGAACAGGAGTCAAAGTTAAACGTTATGGAATTAAATTTGACGCCACAGCACAAAGATAACCTGTTAAGAAATCTCACAGGATTTAATCTTCAGTTGGACCCAATTAACAAAGACGGAAACTGCTTCTTCAGAGCAACAGCCCGGCAGCTAAAAAAACACTTGCAACGTTCGGATTTGCAAAATCTACAGCATATTTCCTCACTGGGGCTTGGAATCAACGAGGAACGTGACACGGAAAACCTCAGACTACTTTTCGTGCGTGAAGTCACTGAAAATCTCGATGAATACAGGGAGTGGATGTCCTGTTCGTCAAATGTACGGGAAATTGAACGTTTTAAAACTGATGGCCATTTCGCAAGTGACATTGGCGACATCTGTACTAAGGCATGTGCTAATCTCCTCCGTGTCCCGATAATTGTAATTACAGCTTTGCCTAATGTCCCATCCATTCCATTTTACCAAAACATTTCATCACTGCTGTACCTATGTATCTGGCGTACGACCATTCAGGTCCAGGGCATTATGACGCTACAAAAGGTAAATAAGCATGCATAAGGCATGAAGACGGAATCCACCAGGAAATTGAGTAATTTAAATTTTCATTGTACAAAAATACCAGAATAATTCAAACAACATCGCATTCTTTTTTTATATTTTCAAGGGCTATGGATGCAATTAGTTATCTGTAACACCAAAGAATGTGAAAAGAAAATGTCTCATGAGAGCCAGAGAAAATAAATGTCAAATTTCACAAAATGACACCTTACACGTGAAATTTTCAGAACTTTACCTGTGTTTTCACAATTCTCGTGAAATTTGACATTTATTTTCTCTGGCTCCCATCAGAAATAGTCTTTGGTGTCATTACAGATAACTGTTTATATATCCATAGCCCTTGAAAAATGTGAAAAAGAATGCGATATTATTTAAATTGTTCTGGTACAAGGTTTTTGTTCACTGAAAATCAAAATTACTCAATTTCCCGATGGATTCCGTCTTAAGCCTAGTTTAAGTGTAGCACGTTTGCTTGGATGATTTTGTTATTGGCATTTGTACGTTTTCCTGCCCGTGTGTGTTTATAAAGGTCTTCTAAATAAGCAAATAAATATATAAAGAAATAAATAACGATTTAGAGGTAACACATCCACAAAGTGGTTCTTCTTCTACCTGATTCCTGATCGAATTAGGATTTGGAAATGCTACCGGCAAAAAAAAACTCTCGGAGCAAAGGAGAGGAAGAACAACAAACTCAACCACATATGGCGTCGACGCCGGGATTTAAAACTGGGCCACACTGGTGGGAGGCGAGCGCTTTCACTACTGCCAGCTACTGCGCCATCCCATGCTCTCCGAACTCGTTATTACCTATTGGATTGGCAATCACTCAATCATAAATATCAAAGAAGATACTCTCTTATTTACAGATGAAGAAAAAAACGAGTATCTATCATTTGAAACGTGGATATCTTAAAAATCAACTAGTCCATAGGATAATAATAATTGTAATAATAATAATTAATCATGATGATGATGATGAGATGATGATGATGATGATGATGATGATGATGATGATGATAACAACGAGGGTTACCATTCCTTTGAGAGGTTTTACTTACACTGTATTTTTTCTCTGGTATGTTTCCAGAATTTCTGAATTCGAATGATGAAACGGAAGGAAATGACACTAAAACCAGATGTACCTGTGGCAAGAATGTTAAAGACCCTTCCAAAATGGCTTGCACATCTTCTAAACGGTCCTTGTAACAGAAAAAGTCAAGCGTGCCCAAGAAAATGTCGCTGCTTCAATTGTAAGAACAAAAATAATGCTGCCTTTGAGGGAGAGAGGCAATTAGGCGAAACACGCAAACGCAAACGCGGATGTACATGTGGTAATACCTTAAACAAAGAAGATAAAGGTCGTGTATCGTGCAGAGATGGAAAAAGAAAAACAAAATGTCCATGCGTTGCCGAAGGACTCGGGTGTACCGAGTCATGCAAATGTTACAACTGTGGAAATATCTTTCAAATTGGCGGTGTTTCCGCTTCACCAGGCACAGGAAGAAAGAGAAGGAGAGCTACCATTTCAACCTACAAGAGACAACGAGGAAAAGAGTTTATGGAAAGACAGAAAGCTCCAGTGACCTCGGGACCTTGGAGACTGCTAGAAACATTGTGTCTAGTAGTTCGTAAAGAAATTCTCTTCATTAGAGAGCTTCCAAGAAATTCATCAAACTTTTCAACGCTGTACAACTTTGTTGCAGAATCGGACAAGGTTAAGGAAATGTCTTTAACGATTGAACGAAAAAGTACAGCTCAAGTAGCGGCAAAAATCGCACATTTGTCAGAACATAGTCATTGTTGAGCTTTTGAACAAGAAAAAGGAACAGGGTTACAAATTTAACCTCGGGTCAGAGATCATAGGCGAATTGAGGGAAAGGTGCACAGCATGTTTAAAAACATGTGCATGAGTGTATAATCAGGTTTAAAAAATTTGTGAAGCCGAGAGGTTTTACACCTGGTAATACACAATTGCGAGTTGCGAGTTGTTTTGAATGGCTTCAAATTCTCCGCTAATTTTATAGATGAACTCATTTTTGCACAAATATATTTAGATTTGTGGTTATTATGGCCTAACAATTGAACGTAAAGGTTAGCCGTTTTTTTTTTTATCAGACATAAAGACACTCATTTTACAAACAAAAATTTCTTTGTTTTGTTTTGTCTTTAATGAATTATTAATGAATGTCTGAAGTTTATTTATGCTTTTGTTGATTATATACTGTGAAAGAGCTTGACCTAGGAGATAACTATCAACCAATCAGACTGCCCAAAAACACCAAGCCTGAGTGGATATATACTAAATAAATTTTAGTTACCGACAATAATTGCAATGTATTTAGCAAATATACCTATCTGCTATTTGTGAATTAGATTTTCAGTGAAAAGCTCAACAGAGTATGGTATCTCCATCCAGTACATATAATAATTCAATATCGTTTTTTATTGATGAACTTGAAATTTGAAGGTCATATACCAATAATAAAAATAAATGAATAGATGAATTAAATAAATAATGTTTTCTCTACTGACCTTGGAGCTAGTAGCCGAATTGCGGAGGAACTGCGGAAATCAGACGCATTTGCAGTCGCTTCAGTCCATGTTTAATCTCACCGCCCCCTCCCCCCCTCCACCCACCAGTCCCATAACGGCACAAGTCGGCCGGCTTACTCTTCGAACCAAGAAACGACGAAAACGAAGCCAACGAGAACGCCCCCAAAACAATAAGAATATGCTTGGATTAGCAAAACACTACGACTTTACTTTGCCGTTGCGTGACTGCGACGTGATGTTAGATTGAGCTTTTTAAGCCACCATCTTTTTGGAACTCAAAAAATTAAAGGACTTTTTGCAGACAGCTATACCACTACGGGGGCAACCATGCTATGCAGGCACACCACTAGTGGCGAGCTTTGACAAGAATTAATGCTATATATGCTTTGCTGAATGTAAGGCATCTAGAAATAAAATGGGACAATGACACACATAAAAGTACTATATAGGGTTGTATGGTGATGTTTAAAGACGCGTATGGGAATTTATAGGGGTGTATGGGGACGTAGAGGGGTGTATGGGGATGTATAGGGATGTATGGTGTTGTATAGGGGTGTATGGTGATATAAAGGGGTGTATGGGAATATATTGGGCGTATGGGGATGTATAGGGATGTATGGGAATGTATAGGGGTGTATGGAGATGTATATGAGTATATAGTGTTGTATAGGGGTATATGGCGATGTAAAGGGGTGTATGGTGATTTATGGGGGTGTATGGTGTTGTATATGGGTATATGGTGATGTGCTGGGGTTTATGGTGATGTACCAGGAGTACATGGTGTTGTATATGGGTATATGGTGTTGTATAGGGGTATATGGCGATGTACAGGGGTGTATGGTGATGTATAGGGGTGTATGGTGATGTATAGGAGTATATGGTGTTGTATATGGGTATATGGTGATGTGCTGGGGTGTATGGTGATGTATAGGAGTACATGGTGTTGTATATGGGTATATGGCGTTGTATAGGGGTATATGGCGATGTACAGGGGTGTATGGTGATGTATAGGGGTGTATGGTGATGTATAGGAGTATATGGTGGTGTATAGGGATATATGGTGATGTATAGGGATGTATGGTGATGTGCTGGGGTGTATGGTGATGTATAGGAGTACATGGTGTTGTATATGGGTATATGGTGTTGTATAGGGGTATATGGTGTTGTATAGGGGTATATGGCGATGTATAGGGGTGTGTGGTGATGTATAGGGGTGTATGGTGATGTATAGGGATATATGGTGATGTGCTCGGGTGTATGGTGATATATAGGAGTACATGGTGTTGTATATGGGTATGTGGTGTTGTATAGGGGTATATGGCGATGTACAGGGGTGTATGGTGATGTATAGGGGTGTATGGTGATGTATAGGGGTATATAGTGTTGTATAGGGGTATATGGTGTTGTATAGGGGTATATGGCGATGTAAAGGGATGTATGGTGATGTATGGGGGTATATGGTGTTGTATATGGGTATATGGCAATGTATAGGGGTGTATGGTGTTGTATAGGGGTATATGGTGTTGTATAGGGGTATATGGTGTTGTATATGGGTATATGGTGTTGTATAGGGGTATATGGCGATGTAAAGGGGTGTATGGTGATGTAAAGGGGTGTATGGTGATGTATGGGGGTATATGGTGTTGTATAGGGGTATATGGTGTTGTATAGGGGTGTATAGTGTTGTATAGGGGTATATGGTGTTGTATATGGGTATATGGTGTTGTATATGGGTATATGGTGTTGTATATGGGTATATGGTGTTGTATATGGGTATATGGCGATGTAAAGGGGTGTATGGTGATGTATGGGGGTATATGGTGTTGTATATGTGTATATGGTGTTGTATAGGGGTATATGGTGTTGTATAGGGGTATATGGTGTTGTATAGGGGTGTATAGTGTTGTATATGGGTATATGGTGTTGTATAGGGGTGTATAGTGTTGTATATGGGTATATGGTGTTGTATAGGGGTGTATTGTGTTGTATATGGGTATATGGTGTTGTATAGGGGTATATGGTGTTGTATATGGGTATATGGTGTTGTATAGGGATATATGGCGATGTAAAGGGGTGTATGGTGATGTATATGGGTATATGGTGTTGTATAGGGGTATATGGTGTTGTATAGGGGTGTATAGTGTTGTATATGGGTATATGGTGTTGTATAGGGGTGTATTGTGTTGTATATGGGTATATGGTGTTGTATAGGGGTATATGGTGTTGTATATGGGTATATGGTGTTGTATAGGGATATATGGCGATGTAAAGGGGTGTATGGTGATGTATATGGGTATATGGTGTTGTATAAGGGTATATGGTGGTGTATAGGGGTGTATGGTGTTGTATATGGGTATATGGTGTTGTATAGGGGTATATGGTGTTGTATATGGGTATATGGTGTTGTATAGGGGTATATGGTGTTGTATATGGGTATATGGTGT